GGGGAGGACGGGCACGCGATTGACAAGTCAAACGAGTTTCACACGATCCACCGGCCACGATCGATCATCGCGACTATCCGCGCGGATCTCTCGGATCATCTCCGTGAAAAAGAATCCATGGCGACGCCTTCTCTTCTACCCCGTGTCTGCTCGACTAACCCCCTACCCTCCATGCGGGACGTCGCAACGCGTTACGACGTAACAAATAGCGTTAACGATGCGAATCGTAGGCCAAGATCACACGCCGCCGCCGATTATTGATCGTCTCCGTTCGTCAAACTATTGCCCCGACATTTGATAAATTCGCGACGAATTACATAGACACGGGTTTTGCATATGTAGACAGATAGAAATATAAGACTGACATTTCGAAATTAAGGAAATAACTACGTATGTGAATAACGGAGTACAGTAAGATTCAATATTCGTACTTATTTTTATGAATTTATAAATTTTAAAAAATAACGTTTACAATTGTAATTCTCCTTCATACATATTTATATTTAATCAGTTTAAAAACTTGGAAATTGTACTCCATCACTTGGTGTTACAGAAATAACTAAATGAACGATTAGTTGCCAGATATTGAACTAATCTTCTACTCGTAACTATGTCAAAAGTATATAATATATATAAAAAGTTGTGTAACATTAAAAATGTGTATGCGTGTATTAAAAGCACAGATTCTTAATTCTTTTTATTTCAGTACACGTGCAGTACATCGGTCCTCAGCAAGATCTCACTGTATTTTTGAAAAACTTTTATCAAAATACGGAAATACGGTTTTTTTCAGTGGCAGTGATACGCAATTGGAAACGATACACGATCGTGTGAATAGCAGAGCATCGCGGAGAGCGCTAATTAACCGAAAGAGAGAGAAAAAAAATAATTGTCCCTTGGTTCGCCAAGAATAATTATACTCGAAGAGGGACTTGGAGCGTGTCGCGTGTATGAATAAAAGAGGATGGCCAACAAGGTGCCGGGAGACCGTTTAACTTTGTGTTTGGGACCGCCTACCCGACGCCCAGCCTTAGGGGACACGATTGCGCCTCGCCACTTTCTAATTTACCGTCGAGTTTCGCCAGCTGACAACGCGCAATTTCTCCATGCAGCGTATCGACCCTACACTGTCTCGAAGCTTGACGATTTTCGCCTTCATTTGCTTTCGCATCCCCTGGTGAAACATTTTTCAAAGAATATATTCTCTCATCCTTTGTGTCCATTTCTTCTATCCAACAGTTCTTAAAAACTCTGTCCTCCTCGAAACTGTTCGCCGTTCGCCTCGAGATTCCTTGAAATGTGCTCTGTTTCGCAAAAT